CCCAGGACCTTCTGATCAGGGGCTTCTCTCCTCTCAGTCCCGCCCAGTCCCTCACCTCCCCTGGAGGGCTGGGGCACCCCCCGCGCTCATCCATGAAGTCTCGCGTGCGTTCCCGGCATCCATTCTACAGCCCCTGAGCCTGCTCTGGCCGGGCCCTCGGGCTCAGGCGTGTCCCTGCCTGCTGCGTGCTGGGAGGGCACAGACCCTGCCCCATCGTGGAGCTGCTGCCACGTGGGGCCACTGAGCATGGAAACGTGGCTCAGGTGGATGGGGTCGTGTGGTGAGTGTGACACCCACGGCTCAGGAGAGATGGCCTCGTGCAGACCCGTGTGGCGAGTGCGTTGAAATGCTGTCAGACATCCCGGACTGAGCTATGGGAATGGACGTCACCAGCGTCTGTCAGCTCTTTATCCTAAGGTAGTGGAACCACTGGCGCCTGGTGTCTCTCGGACAGCACCGCCCTGGAGTGAGCCGCGGGGCTCACAGCAGTTCCTGTCCCCAGACTCACCCTGCATGTCTCAGCCCGGGTAGAGAAGGAGGCAGGAGCGTGGGGACACTGGTGGGGATGTGCTCGGTTGGGGGCTGCAGTTGGCGCCTTGCTCTGGCAATGGCCGCTGCTGGTCACAGGTGCCCTAGTAGCAGTCCAGGGGGCCTGCCATGGGGTTCGAGCAGCCAGGGCAGGCAGGGGAGGGCGCGGTCTCAGCGCGGTGTGACAACTCGCCCTTGACAACAGGCACAAGGCTGTGACCTTGGCGGCCCTCCCAGCCCAGCAGGTGCAGGGCCTAGTGAGGTGCTGGCGCTCAGCCCCTCCCCGTGGCTCCGCAGCCCTGACCATCTCTGCCACCTCCCCAGCAAGGAGCCTGTGGGAAGAGGAAGAGGAGGGCATCATTCTGCCCCCTTCCCACCTTGGTCCTTCCGAGGGACTCCCTGCCTGCCTCCTGCAGCCACACCCTCAGGAACCTGCCTACCTAACCCCAACCCACTGGAAAAATGCAAAAGAGGAAAATATCCATCCAGACCGAATAATCGATCCTAACATATCAATCCAATTCTTTCTTTCTGTTTAGTCGGCGCTGTAAGGTGCGTGGGCTCACCAGGAAGAGGCAGACAGGAAAGGGAGAAAGCACCCTCCATGAGAACGGCCACACTGCAACCCCTTCTCTCCTCTTCCCCTCAGGCTCTTGGGCGCATACACACACGTCAGGGCTTGGTTTTCAAGTCACTAGGCCCAGACTTGAGCCATGCCGTCAGCCATGTGGAGTACAGTGCCTTAACCTCCACACCAACTGCTGGACCTCCAATTAATTTCTGACTTTTTATGCATAAATGTTATTCTGGGTTTCTTTGTTTCTTTTTAGAGATTTTTATTATAGGGTGTGTGCGCTCGCCAGAGAGACAGAGACAGAAAGTGATAAATCACCCCCCGGGGAGATGGCCATGCCGCAATCCCTTTTCCTCCACTCTCCTCTCAGGATACTAGGCACAGATGCCTGCCCTGAATTTTAAGCCACCGGGTCCAGGACTTGAACCACCGATGAGTATGTGGAGTCCAGCAACGCGACCATGATGCCATCTGCTGGTCCCTTGAATGATTTTTTCTGTAAGAGACAGGTAGAACTTTTGACAGGGTCCTGCCCAAGCATGATCCCTAGGCCCCAGTCTCCCAGGTGACCAGGATCACAGCCCAGGCATTGTCCTCTGTGTAGGTGTGTCAGGAATTGACCCCAGACGTCCATGCAGTACCTCAGTGTGAACTCAGTTCCTCTCCGGCCGCCCAGGCCCTGTGGCCACCATGGCTGTCTTGCAGATGAGCAGGCAGAGGCCCATGGCACAGCTCCTGTCTCATGGCTGGTCTGTTCCGATGGGCCAATTCCTG